TCCTGCATTTACTTATGTAGGAGCCAGGCTGGCCTGTTTGCAGATATTAAACTAGCATACCGGCCGTCCTGCATTTACCTATGTAGGAGTCAGGCTGGCCAATATATATGTACATAGAGCGAGGAAAGCCAGTTTATACTCAAGTCATAACTTATCACCAGGCAGTGTGAGAGTCTAGACAAGCATATGTAATTACTGTACAAGATTGACTAGCAATGAAGACAATGGAGGATACAAGATCATATCTTCTGGGATCTCTTAGAGGGTTGCCTCGCCCTACCTGATCTACGAACCACAGGCTCAGTCCTAGGCTTCTTGGACTTACTTGATGAAGCATGGTTAATTTTTCTCTTCCTCCCTTTCTGCACCACCTCTTCAACCTCCTGCTCCTGCTGTTCTTCTCCCCCAACTACATTCTCCTCTGACTCAACATCCTTCTCCTCAACCTCATGCCTTTCCTTCTCTACCACCATCCTCATCTCCTCATCCTCAACCTCGTCACTGAGTCCCTCTTTGTTCAGCCTCTCAATCTGACCAACAACTGAGAATAAGACTTCCCGGACAGCCTCATCCAGAGCGACCAAGAACTGTAGATCAATAGCAGAATGAGGTAGGTAGAAAGGGGTATTGGGATCAGCCTCGTCTTCCTCATACTCTATCACACGCTTAGACTCCCTATAGAGGAGCCCAATTCCTAGTATTACTGGCATTGCCGATGATGGCCCTGAGATTGGACAGGTCTGTAGCTTGTTTAAGCTGGCCATCAATGTCGCATATGAGGTGTGAATGTCCTCGGAAAGATAATTTTCGCTCCAAGACCAGTCAGCCCAGGTAGGCAAATCTTGGTGTCGCTCTGAAATTGGCTGTTGGACATATAAGCCATAAAATTGAAAACAGCACCAAGTGACACTAACATTCTGTTTGGCTAATATTGCCAGGTCCCTAGTGGCGTCCACAAGCTCCAAGTAGTTTTCATTCTTGCTAAGGGTTTCTAAAAATGTGTATCGGTCATTGATGGCAACATCATCTGGTGTTGTCTCATGAGCGGCCGGCTGTGTTGTACGTTCTGTGAAATGAGAGGCAAATGGAGCCGGCCGGCCTTGATCTTCTTCATCTAAGTCTAGGGTGCTCACTACTTTCGTCTTGGACTTCCCAGTGACCCGAATATCAGCATCCTTGGCCTTAATAAAGACAACTAGCTTCTGATTTGTAGCAGAACGTCGTTCCCAATGCATCCATAGACGATTTACCTCCTCTGTCTTCATATGAGAAGGGTCTTTGACCACAAATCCTGTGGGAACTGAACCAGGTTCCAAATAATTGGACGGGCTGGCAGTTATCACGCCCCAAGGTACAGGTCTAGAGCCACCTGTGCAGACTTCTACAAACCATTGAGTCAATCAAATGTCATGCACATATTGAAGATGTTAGATCTTACTGTATGAAGTATGAAAGATACTTCTAATCAATTCGTGTTGGCCCTTGAGGCCAATACCATCACGAAGAGGAAGTTTTGCATACCCCTCATCATCTACTATGATTTCAGGTAAGACAGGTCCATCCTCACAGTCTGAAGCCGCATGGTCTGAATCCTCTGAAGGGTCTATCAATTTAATAGTCAGTGAGCATGATATTTAAAATCAAATGAAACACGTACAAAATTCAGTCTTAGACCATTCTCCAAAGGATTCAAATCCATTTGCAGCCCACTCCTTGATACCACTCGAGCTCACAGAAAATTTTTTCTTGGCATTCTGAGGCGTAGTTTCGTGTCTATAGTAGTTTAGTTAGTCTTGAGATTTCCATGTTGATTTGATGACTTACAGACTGACGGACAATGTCTGACTAGCTTTTTTCTTATGACTAACAAGCATTACTATGCGACAACCCATGGTGCGCCGAATTTGCTCTGCAAAATCTTCCAGAGTTTTCTTGAGGTTATTCTTACGATATCTCAAGCCAAAGTGTTAGACTGGAATAACTGTAGATTTGAAGTAAAACTTACATTGCCTGAGTTTCTTCTGGCGCCCCCTCCTCATTCCATTTCTTCATGGCAAACTTGACCTCCTGCTGTTGTGAAGGTGTCATGTTGTTGAACCACTCCCTGGCATTCCCAGTGCGGTACTTGATTGAATACTCCAAGCCTTTACTCTGTTGTTGGGCCTTGTCATATGAGTCGATCTCCTGCTTAAATAATTTCTGTGCTACATCCCACTCAGACAGGGGTTTCTTATAGAAAGATGGTTCTCTTGGGCGACTCGCTGCCTCACGTTCGTCTGCCTCTTCCTTGTCTTTGAGACTTTTGGCATAGTATTCTTTTATTGCCTGTAGGTAACATTTATGTATATCATCAGACAACTAAATACATGTACAGTATAAGAATTTTGTGACCTTTTTCAAGGAAGTAGGCAAGGCAATGGGTTCCTCTTGCTCGTCTTGAGCAGCTAGTATGGCCCTCCGAATCTTCCTCACCACAGGCTTTCCAACAGATGAGGAACCTGCAGCAAAAATGGCCTTAGAGTGAAGGTCGAGAATTGGCTTAAAGGCAATAGACCAGTCGGTAGACATCGTAATTGATTCAAGATAAAAATTGCAGGTAGGCTGGTACAGGCGGTAGGAGGGTGGCTAGCCGAAATTAATTTGAACACCCATGTTTATCAACAATAACGTGTGACTTATGAAAAGTCACACGTTATTGTTGATAAACATGGGTGTTCAAATTAATTTCGGCTAGCCACCCTCCTACCGCCTGTACCAGCCTACCTGCAATTTTTATCTTGAATCAATTATCAAATTGGATATATTGAGACGGTCAAATTCACATCAAGTAACAAGATTAAAGGCACATTATACTTCCATTGAGTGGAGTTAGACAGTGTAGATAATAGACAAATTCACATCAGGTAAAAAGATCCAAAACACGTTATACTTCCATTGAGCGGTGAGGGTATCTAATCAAGTAAGATGAAGAAAAATGAAACATGAAGGGATGTACGAAAAAGCTAAGACAAAATAATTGTATCCTAATCCTCATCCTCATCAGGGACACTAGGCATGGGCCTCAAGACAACCGAAATCCAGCAGGAGCCAGGTCTTTTGCCTGGCAAAAGGATCCTGGAATGAGGTGGTTGTGAGAATACATACTTTTTCCTACATTGGCCATTCTTGCATTCAAAGATGTAATCTTTGTGCATGTTGACAGAACACCAGGCGTTACTCCACCCACACTGTGGGCACTGGACCAGCAGGTACTGACCCCAGGGGCGAAGTTGGGAATGCGTCCAGGCGAACTTGGTAACGGCCAACGAACCTGAGTTGTCAGGCATCAGCAAGAACACGTCAGTGTGGCGCCCAAGTTTGTAGGACTGGCCCAACATGTCAGGGAAGACGATGTGAATGGGCAAACACTCGATGATGACCAGCTCCGCGAATGCGAGCAAAAGGTGGGTGGCGAAACTCGGCTGAAAACGAACAGCATTAAAGCCAATAGTGGCTGTGATGCGATGACTGTTAGGGTTAGTTAGTATTTGCAAAGATAAGATCAAATGGACTTACTCTATGACCGCCTGTTGCAAGCCTGAAAAGGAAGTGACGTTGTTGATGAGCGCGCCACACGAAAACAGCCATAAGTATGATTCCGCGGCACCATGAATCAGGGGATGCCAAGGTGAAAGCAGAACATCGAGAACCTTTGGTGTCAAATGAGCAAATACAATGTTAGTCAAAAAAATGCCACTTACAGAGTGAACGCGTGCCGAAACGTATGACTTCTTGTTGCCCTCGTACCCAATAAATGGATCTCCATGCTCGTTGTCGGTGTGGTTAGTGATGGCGACGACGACACGAGCCCAGTTGGAGCTCATCAGCGACTGGATGATGGCAGTCGCCTGCAACCGGTACTCGTCGATCTTTGAGGCATTGCCGATGTCGAACACGATGGACCGAAATTCAAACCCTCCGCTGGGGAAGTATGGCCGAAGGAATTCGGAGGCCAGTTCGAAACAGCCGCCGGTGACGTCGTGGTCGACGAGGACGAGATGGAGCATGAGCGTGGGTGCCGAAGACAGTTGGGAATGGAGTGAAACCTCCAACGTAGCACGAATTTGGAGGAATGAAGGAAGGAGCGGTTGCCCCTTCCTGTAAAAACCCTATAAAATGAAGTGAATGTTAGTTAGCATGAAATAAACGAAAAAACTTACAAAATAGGGCGACTGAGATGCGCGCCCGTGTCGTTCCATGCCAACATGGCAAGATATGCAGACGAACGTGACGTCATCGGCCTGCACCGCGTGTGCACTGGCAGGCGGGATGTTCATGCAGTTTGAACACATCACCCGCGGACAGGTGCTGCAGAGGAAGAGGCAATCTTCCCCTACAGAACCGTCTCTGCAGATGAGACAAAACTGCAAATAAAGACGCGTGTTAGTGCAAATAGTAGGTAACTAATCACTTACCTCGTTGTGTTCAGACGGCTCTCTCACATTCAGCTCACCCGGCGCAGTGACCGCTCCAGTAGATGCCAGCAACGACAAGGCAATTCGTGGCGCGGTGCCACCGGTGGACTTCTTGCAGGTTTGTTTAGACTTCACCATGGTGAAGAGAGACTATTATAGATATATTCAAATTAGTAGATGACACGGCAAATAGCACTTACAGTTATGTAGTTCAAACAGATGCAAAGAGAGGAGAGCGCCGGCTGAATGTACTTAGAAAGAAATGAACAAGTTTGAACGTTGGTTGATTGTGACAAACAGATCCAAATAGTCATGTGATTATCAACAATGAACTCAACAGCGTCATAATATTGGCTAATCCACAATTCAACGTGTTGCGTGTCAAAAATCCACTCAACACGTGCTGGCGCGCCGGCACGTGTTGAATTTGTGGATTTTTGACACGCGACGCGTTGAATTGTGGATTAGCCAATATTATGACGCTGTTGAGTTCATTGTTGATAATCACATGACTATTTACAAACAATAACAAACTGACACGTGAATATGAACAACAACAATCAGTTCTCACGGTTCAATCTCTTCTTTCGTCTTACCTTCATCATTCTCCTTCATCCTTTATTTCTGCCAGTGCCGTTACTTCAGGGCGACTTCCGGTGTACTCCTTTGGGTTCTTGCAGACTGCAGCTGCAAGAATTCAAAGGTACTACCCTACAGTCGCCCTTCAAACATAGTAAGTTCAACTTTGGTGGTGCGCCTACTTACTAACTGTTTTCATTTACATATACTCTCTTTCCCTTGAGGTTTCTCAAGGTAAGTACTTAATTGCTCACACCCGCTTGCTAATGTCTGTTGTACTTAGGATTTTGGAGACTTTGGATGGCGCAGTGACAGCCACTCCTCCCTTTGAGCGCCCTCCTGGCAGTTCCCTAACGTAAGTCCTTCTTTTCCCGCGTCTGCTTGCTAACGTTTGTTCTATTTAGTATTATACTTATGAATTTCAGGACTTTGGATGGCGCAGTTAGAGCCACTCCTCCCTTTGAGCGCCTTCCAGTTCCTTAAACGTAAGTCCTTCTTCTCTCGCGTCCGTTTGCTAATGTCTGTTCTATTTAGTATTCTGCTTATTGGAACTGGGGGTTGCGCAGTGCATGCCACTTGTCAGTGGCTCCTGCTTATAGGAACTGGGGGTTGCGCAGTGCATGCCACTTGTCAGTGGCTCCTGCTTCTTGAAATTGGCGGTAGCGCAGTGCATGCCACTTGTTAGTGGCTCCTGCTTATTGGGACTGGGGCTCAGCGCAGTGCATGCCACTTGTCAGTGGCTCCTGCTTCTTGGAATTGGCGGTATCGCAGTGCATGCCACTTGTTAGTGGCTCCTGCTTATTGGGACTGGGGCTCAGCGCAGTGCATGCCACTTGTCAGTGGCTCCTGCTTCTTGGAATTGGCGGTATCGCAGTGCATGCCACTTGTCAGTGGCTCCTGCTCCGACTTTTTAATAGCCTGCTCCAACTTTTTAATGGTGGTAAGCGCTCAATTCCTGATGACCTTAACTGATCTGTTTTGTTCTCTAGACTGCTGAACCTGCCGGTACTTTTGTGTGGCAAGTGCTCTCTAGTTAAGTGTTAATCTTGTCTTAAATTTCGGTCTAACGTTTCTACAGGACAAATTTGTATTGTATTATATATATATTTGCTACATACATTTTCACCTGGAGTGTTGAGGCTTTGGTGAGGAGGGCCCCCTCATTGAAGTCTCGCCTCCCCTTTTGTATTTGTTACTTTATTTGTTTGCTTACTTGTAGTAAAATTTATTGTCACTCGTACTTTGTATTTGAAAATGTATGTTGATGGATGCACTTTATTTGCTGCCGGCTGAAAAGGTCACGTGACCGTGTGTATATTAGCAAAGAGCCTTATTAAGAAAGCAAGCGCAAAAGCACAGTAGTGTATAATAATCAAACGCTGCACAGACCAAAGCAACTATTATCTACTACATGTCTTAGATAGATAATGTGTTATGTAGATCTCAATTCTGCCTTGATGCGGCTCACCATTGACATGCTGAAGGACGCTATCATTGATTATTGTCTGCCAGTCAAAATATACTATTGGCATAGGCAGATGGTGGCAGAACACTAGGACAAGTAGCCATGACGCCATATGATACAAACTTCCCTTCCCGGTCAGAAGGTTGATTCTTCTTTGAAATTGCCTTCTGACCACAGAGGGGAGTCATCATATGGCGTCATTGTCACCATCTGCCTGGGCTGCTAGCATATTTTGGACTGACGGACATTCTCAATACCCTACAGGCCGCTTAGAGGCTAGCCCGCCCTCAAAACTGTTCGTGTTAAGAGTTCTGCCTCAGAGGTAATACTTAGTTAGCTACACCTATACTGTAGGGTATTGAGAATGTTTTCTTCGGTTAACAAAGAAAACATTTTCAATACCCTACAGTATAGGTGTAGCTAACTAAGTATTACCTCTGAGGCAAAACTCTTAACACGAACAGTTTTGAGGGCGGGCTAGCCAGTATATGCCTCAGAGGTAACCTCAGAGGTATCTCCAAACTGTTCGTGTTAAGAGTTCTGCCTCAGAGGTAATACTTCGTTAGCTACACCTATACTGTAGGGTATTGAAAATGTTTTCTTTGTTAACCGAAGAAAACATTCTCAATACCCTGCAGTATAGGTGTAGCCAACTTACCTCTGAGGCAGAACTCTTAACACGAACAGTTTTGAGGGCGGGCTAGCCTCTAAGTGGCCTGCAGGGTTTCTCAATACCCTGCAGTATAGGTGTAGCTAACTTACCTCTGAGGCATATACTGTAGGGTATTGAAGATGTTTTCTTTGTTAACCGAAGAAAACATTCTCAATACCCTACAGGCCACTTAGAGGCTAGCCCGCCCTCAAAACTGTTCGTGTTAAGAGTTCTGCCTCAGAGGTAAGTTGGCTACACCTATACTGCAGGGTATTGAGAATGTTTTCTTCGGTTAACAAAGAAAACATTTTCAATACCCTACAGTATAGGTGTAGCTAACGAAGTATTACCTCTGAGGCAGAACTCTTAACACGAACAGTTTTGAGGGCGGGCTAGCCAGTATATGCCTCAGAGGTAACCTCAGAGGTATCTCCCCTCCATGGTCAGAAGGGAAGAGTCAGCCTTCTGATGGTGCAGGGCAGTTTGTATCATATGGCGTCATTGCTACTTGTCCTGGTATCCTCCGGATGCCAATTTACTATTATACACTACTGTTTTTGTGATTGCATTCTTAATAAGTGAGTCCTTGCTGTCTCTCAAGGCGTTGAACTCCAGCTGGAAGTGTCTCCTGTTATTTGAGACAGGGATCCCACAGTGTAGTCCCAGATTCAGAATATCATTCATTCTTCTGTGGTAGTCTGCCAATATTAGTCTTCACTCTTCCAGCATCTGAGCGAGTTATTACAGTACTAATTATGTCACAATCTGGGCAAGACTTCATTTAATCAGTCTTCCATCAGTAGATTCCATTCATATATCCAAATTTGATCGCGGGACAATTTTTTCGGAAACTTCATTTAATCAGTCTTCCATCAGTAGATTCCATTCATATATCCAAATTTGATCGCGGGACAATTTTTTCGGAATCATTTCATATAAGTTAAATTGAGTCTTGATCCGAACGAGCTGGTTGAAAATTTTCCTTGCTCACCATGGACCAACAAATGAGTCAATCAATCAAGCTGAGAGCAGCTCTGACCACAAGGATCAAGGAAATTATGGGAAAATCATCAGCAACAGGGATTTTCAGAGGGGGGATATTGCAAACTCACCTTCTACACAAAGCAAGGTGAGAGGTTATATTTAGGGCCTTATTTGATCCGCTCTATTAAATGGTCTCACTTAAGATTAAGAATTGGACATGAGCTAGACAGTTGCTTAGCAACACGTGATGTCAACTTCCATGCTTCTGCGTCAATCTCAGAATATGAGATCAATCGAGCTGCACTGACAGTTGCCCATGCCATGGTAAATCCTTGTGAGTTGTTTCACTCTGCAAGATATCACCTGGTTTTAAATTCACATCATTTGCAGATTATGTGGATTGGGATGTTGACAGATTTGCCGAAATGGCCAAAGTCTCTACACCTAAATCTGATGGTCCCCTCGCTAATACCAATCAGCTACCAAAGTACTTTTCTGCAGCTATGATCGGTAAAATTTCAGCACCAGCTACTATTGTGGACAGGCAAGGTAAAATTTTAACAATTTACTTGCCAAATATTTTGTCTTCTTCTCGGGTTGTATGTTCATTCTTCCTTGGGAATTCCCCTCATCAATTGATAAATTAAATTAGGAATATGTGAACTCAGCCACTAAGGGTTTACGGACTTTACTTCTTGAAACAATTACGTCCTCCACCCAACAGTCTTGGCGATCTCAAGGCTTTGTTGTCCCAGAGGGGGGTGGAGAATTTGGAGCAGGCAGAGTCACAGTATCACCAGCATATTTTATGCAAAGACACGAGGTATAGGCCAAATTTAGTGGCTGTTTAGCTACTTTTGACTTTGTTTGATTTCATTTGCAGAGACTGGAAGACCCAATGGTTACCTCGGCTTCCTATAAGTCTGTGGAAGTCCAAGAGTGGCTAGCTGCTTTATCAGCTACTGAATCTTTCTGGAATGCCATTACCGCTGTATCGGCTCCAGATCTATTCGAAGCAGGCACCTTGGCAATCACTCGTATTATTGAGGAACTTCAAGGTTCTGATAGAACATCACCACCCATCTGTGATTGGCCCTCGATCTTCTCAGGATTGGAAATAATTGCAAATCGTACAACTTTATCACACAGAGATTCTGGTGGCGCACCATTTCTTTTTGATCTTCTGATTAGTTTAGGCAGTGGCCATGAGGCTAAGTTGACATTAGCAGATGTTGGGGCCGAACTGGATTATTACCCTGGGACAATGGTCTTCATTTCCGGGAAGGTTTTACAACATTCTATTGGTCCATGGGGTCCGGGAGAAAGGCTCGTTATTGCCCATTTTATGAGGGATAAAATCCACTCTAGATGCGGGGTATCCAGACCCCCCTTTCCAACACAGGCCTATTTTTTGCAGATGGTGGGGCAGCAGGATAGTTATTTGTTGTGACAAGTAGATGATAAGAAAGGAGTGGTTCTTGGAGGAGGAGGGGTGGAATGGGACAAATCAAGTGTTTGACAGTATACCTACTAGATTAGTTGATGTGATCTAGTGATTCCTATGAATGGTTTCAACTATCAAAAATAGAATGTTGATAATATCAATTTTTCCCCCCACACGTAACCCTATGTCTCCCAAGAAAAAAACTCGACTCAAGGCAGCTACATTTTCCTTCCAAGGAAGAGGTCGTTTGTCTAAAGGCAAGGACCTTGATGTTGCCTATGTGTCTCATAAACAAGTCATTGGAAAGAGAAGGAAGCCAACCTGGGTGGAATCATGCGCTGATAGCCTTTATGACACTGCCCCAACACCATCTCCATCCTCCAGCCCTCGTAAACGTATTAGAGAAGACACTCAAGGGTTGCAAAACAGTCATGAAGATTTTGATAGACAAACCCTTGGTGACTTTGTTTCCTATGTAGAGAACTCACAAAGAAAAACCAAGGCAAGCATAGTGATTCAGTGTCTTTTAATGATGTACTAAATAGAGATTATTACGACCAGACACAAAATGACTTCATCCAAGAATATCTGCCTTTCCGAGACTTGTACTTGGATATTCTCCTTGACTTGGAGAAACCCTCCGATGTATCCCAGTGCCAGTCTTGTCAGATTGGTGAAGGGAAATTCCGCTGTTTGACTTGCAGTGGAGATCAGACATTCTGTCGTTCTTGCATTGTCAATGCTCACCAGTTTTTGCCCTTCCACAAGGTTCAAGAGTGGACTGGGAAATGCTTCAACGACACATCACTTGAAGAATTGGGTTTATCTGGTATATGGGCCATGGGGGACAACCATGTCCATTTTCTGACGACATGCATGCATGGGAGAATATTCCGATGGACGCAGAGGCCAATTTTTCACCAATGGAGACAGTTCATGGTTCAACTATACCAACCAAGTTGACCATTGTACATTCCACTGGAGTGTTTTTGCACAACGTTGTCTGGTGCAGCTGTCCTGGGGTCGATTGTCAGCAGCATTTGCAATTGCTGAAAGCTAAATTATTTCCAGCCAGTACCACTCGACCACAGACTGCCTTTACTTTTGATGTCCTCAATCATTTTCTAATTGATGCACTGGAGTGCAAGACTTCAGCATCCAGCTTCTTTGAAAAAATCCGTCGAATGACCAATAACTGTTTCCCAGATACTGTTCCTGTAAGTCTTATAAGTCTTCTTGGTGAAAGTTAAACTAACAGTACCAATTTGTTTTTCTAGAATCGATATCGAGAACTTATGAGAGTGTCTCGACTGTGGAGAGACTTGATGAGTCGAAAATGGTTTGGCTTTGCCCATAATGATGAGCAGAAACCGGACAAGGGTGATCTGGCTTGGTTTTGCCCTGCTTGTCCACAGCCTGGGATTAACCTACCTCCTGACTGGCAAGCCAGATATGAAAGGCAAGTCATTTATCCATCTCATTCTAAGGAGAGGCGACTCAATTTCTCTACCACACTTGAGAATATCATACTCACTGGCTAGCCCTACACTGCATAGTGTACGAGAGCTCCGGCCGGACTGACTTATGTTCTAATCAAGCTGGCCAGCATGGCATAGACTGGATGTAAAACCAGGCCGGCCGGCACATTAAATTGGCTTGCTAGCTTGACACAGATAGCATGCATAACCATGCTGGCCGGTTAAACTGAGGTGCATAGATGTCACTCAAAGACATGCCAGCCAGAGAGTTGGTCCGGAGAGAGACTTCTACTTTTCTTTTTTGCACATTTTTAACCTTATGCTTACCTGTTTGTACAGTTGGCTTGTTTCACAAAGATATGTGGTAGACGGGAACTTCACTGCTCAACATATGGTAATGAGAAAACCACAGTTGGACATTAGTTTGTCAGATGGGCTTGGGTATATGGTGAAAGATCAAGAATACCAGACTCATCTGTCATCGGCTGTAGAAAGTAAAGAGGTGAGTTGGCTCATGACAACCACTTTTCGTTCATGCTTCACTATCTTTGTAGTGGTCTTCTTGCAGCAATCATCGTGCAGTAAATGCAGCCAATATCAGCAGGAGCAATCTTCGAGCTACAGGTGTAGGAGCAACTGCTTGTGCTCGACATGGATGCTTTGTTCCTCATAGTATAGTTGATTTTCAGAAGGGCGAAAGGTCTGTGTATGTCCTCCAAATCAACATGTTATGCAAGCTCAGGTAATTTTTAGACACATGAATATCGACTACTCAATATGCAATGCATTGAATTATCATTCAGCTGGTATAGACTCTTCCCTCATCATTTATGATGTGGGGTGTCAGTGGAGCATTAATTTTCTACAGAGAGTAGCCCAGAGCAAGGGCTTGTCTGTACCTGAAAATATGCACATCGTTCCAGCAGTTGGAAAATTCCATCTTAGCGCTCACAAATTAGCTTGCTTTGCAAGGTACAGCCTCAACTTTATTCAAGGGGCTGGACATGTTGATGGGAAGATTTTGGAGACTCTGTGGGCACCATTCAATAAGATCTCCCCAACTGCTCGGTCAATGAGTCAGGCTCACCTGTCAAGAAGTTCTTGATGATCATATGCGAGACTCAAACTGGAAAAAAATAGTGGGAATAAGTAAGCCCTCCAAATTTTGCATTTGAACAAGCTTGACAATTGAGCTTCCAGTGAAGACTCTCTTGAAAAAGTACAAACGGGCTCTCAAAGGTGTTGATGACACAAAGTCTCCCTTTGACGAGCTCACTCTGTCTCTGGACCCTGAGAAGATTTCGATATGGAAGATCAATGAGAAAAAGGCCATGGAACAACGTGGAGAGTATCTTGACATCTATCAGTTGCAGATGAACAAAGGTAAGTGAACTCTGTCTAGTTGTGAGGCTGCTATTCTTGTACAGACATCTGATCAGTATTTGTATCTAGCTCCAACTATGGCAGAGATTAGACTCAAATTAACTGAGTCTGAGAATACCGACACTAGCAAACCTGGGACAGTCTCTTGGCTCATTACTGGCATCAATCTGGAGGATTTACAGTATGTAACCAATAAAAATAGAGAAACCGTTTGACATAGTACTATTTTAGGGATGGACTAAGGGCAGATATTCGACAACTTCCTACTGATGCAACCCCAGGACAGAAAGTTTCTATAGAAGAGAAGCGACAGAGATTGACAGCTAGGATAGCTAAATTTCATGAAACAGCTGATGCCATGACTGCTGGTATGGATCTTGGAACTGCAACAGTGCATTCCGACGATCCTAGATTCTGCTATGCAGGTCATGATGAAAATGGTTGGGGAGAGGTCTCAGATGAAGAGATCTCAGAGTATATTGACGAAGAAATCTTGGCTGAAGAGATGGGTATCTGGATGCCATCATCAGTGCCCTACCAGGATGCATTGGCTCTCGGACTGGGTCCCCTCCAAGCTGAAGAATTAGAACTTCGAAAGGGCCAAGCCATTGACTGCCTCGAAAAGCTTCGAATGGCCCTTGGTCATAAGGCTATCATCTATCGTCAGTATTTTCGAAGTGCTAATTCTACATGGGCTGGGACTAGGTCAAAGCAAGAAGCTCAACGCTGTCAGCTCAAAATTGACAAGTGTGTAAGAAGCTATCAGAGGGCAAGGTCAGCAATGGAAGGTCTAGGCATGGACAAAGCCACCTTGGGGAGTCTTTATCAGCCAATATCGCCTACAGAGCTCAGTATAGACAAAGAGGTGACAGAAGAAAATAGATTTGGACAAGGGTCAGACAGGCTGGCTTGGTTTTGGAGGGGAAATAATGCAAGCCAAGGTCAAGACGATGCCTGGATAGATGAATGTAAGAAAAAATCTTTATCTCTATGATATGTCACTAAAGCTCCAACCGATCTAGTCTACAGGGTGAACTGGTTGAAGGCTAAGGCTAGATGGAATAGATGGCAAGAGGAATTAAGGCTGGTAAGACATGAAATGGGTTGGACCATAAACTGGTTCAAGTACCACCAGAATGAATGGGAGAGAAGGGGTGGCCAAGCCACCAGACCTGGTCATCAAGCCTATGCTTATCAGCAGGTCTTGATGTGGGGAAGATTTGTTGAGGAGGCAGAGAAAAATTTCAATGGATGTCAATTTATACTTTGATCTGGTATACTGTCTTTGCTAGGAAAAATATGACAGGATAATTCTCAATGCTAATGAATGACAAGGTAGCTTAGCTAGCACTAGCTCCACTCTATGTAGTCCACAGCTGGCCGAGATAATTGTATTTAAGATATGGACTGGCCAGATGGTTCCTACAGCATGTATGTACATGGCTGGCCCTTATAAGAGTATATAACTAGCTTATATCTACCCTATGCAGTCCATGTAATTCTGATACCAATAACTGGTTAGCCTTGATTCTACAATAGACAGAATCAAGTCGGCCGGTATGAAATGTTGAAACCAATAACCAGCCAGTCTTGATCATACATGTCGTAGGAACTATCTGACCAGTATACAAATCTGAAACCAATGACTGATCAGCCTTGATTCTACTATTGTACAATTAAACCGAGCAATATTAAAACTAATAACTGGCCAGTCTTGATTCTACATGTTGTAGAATTAAACCGGCCGGGATGCAATGTTGGAATTGAAAACCAGCCAGTCTTGATTCTACTGTTGTAAAATCAAACCGGCCGGAATGCAATGTTGTGATTGAAAACCGGCCAGTCTTGATTCTACTATTGTACAATTAAACCGGCCGGGATGCAATGTTGTGATTGAAAACCGGCCAGTCTTGATTCTACATGTTGTAGAATTAAACCGGCCGGGATGCAATGTTGTGATTGAAAACCGGCCAGTCTTGATTCTACTATTGTACAATTAAACCGGCCAGGATGCAATATTAAAACTGATGACTGGCCAGTCTTGATTCTACATGTTGTACAAGCTATCTGGCCAGTATGAAATTCTGTAACTAATGACTAGTATAGAAATTACAAAACAATAATTAGCTAGTCTTGATTCTACTATTGTACAATTAAACCGAGCAATATTAAAACTAATAACTGGCCAGTCTTGATTCTACATGTTGTAGAATTAAACCGGCCAGGATGCAATGTTGGAACTGATAACTGGCCAGCCTTGTTTCTACTATTGTACAATTAAACCGAGCAATATTAAAACTAATAACTGGCCAGTCTTGATTCTACATGTTGTAGAATTAAACCGGCCAGGATGCAATGTTGGAACTGATAACTGGCCAGCCTTGATTCTACTGGTGTAAAATTAAACCGGCCAGGATGCAATGTTGGAACTGATAACTGGCCAGCCTTGATTCTACTGGTGTAAAATTAAACCGGCCAGGATGCAATGTTGGAACTGATAACTGGCCAGCCTTGTTTCTACTGGTGTAAAATCAAACCGGCCAGGATGCAATGTTGGAACTGATAACTGGCCAGCCTTGTTTCTACTGGTGTAAAATCAAACTGGCCAGGATGCAATATTAAAACTGATAACTGGCCAGTATGACATTCTGTAACTAATGACTAGTACTCGTATAGAAATCCCAAACCAATAATTAGCCAGGCTTGATTCTTCTATAGGATTAAACCGGCCAGCTTTAATTCTACGGTTGTAGAATTAAACTGGCCAGGATGCAATGTTGGAACTGATAACTGGCCAGTCTTGATTCTACATGTTGTACAGGCTATCTGGCCAGTATGCAACTTAATAACAAGTGACTGGCTGACTTGATTTTACAACATGTAGAACCAAGACTGGCCAGTTATCAGTTTCAACATTGTGTCCTGGCCAGTTTGATTCTTGATTCTACAACAGTGGAGTCAAGGCTGGTCAGTCATTGGTTACAGAATTGCATACTGGCAAGCTTGATTCTACCTGCAGTGAAATCAGGCCAGCCAACTAGCTAGCTGAATTCTATATCTTGCAGGCATAAAGCTAGCCACTACCACTGATGGTAATCATTTATATATATATTAACACTAAACACTAATTCTACATACTCCGGCCAGCTGTATTATACATTTTGTAGGCATAAGGCTAGTTATTGTGTTTACAGTAATTCTAATATGTATATATCTACACCAGTCACACTGATTCCACATACTCCGGCCAGCTGGAGTTTGCATACTCCGGCCAGTGACTGGCTGGCCATGATTCTACAGACTTTTGGCACATCCGGAGCCAGGGTTCTACATGGAAAGTGACT